GGTGCACACCGCGCGGCTTCGCTTCACCTGTATCTGTGTTAATTTTAATTTCTTCCAATATCGTGCTCAATAGTTCCATAGTTCAAAGATTGCGTTACAAAAAGCCTTGAATCGTTCGTATATTTTTTTTGTAACGGCTGGTTTAAGTGGCCAAGTGTGTATGCTTAATAAAATGTCCGCGAGAATCCTAAGTGCTCATTGAAATAATACTAATCTCGCTAGATTATCAACCCTCGAGAAGCGAGCAGCATTTGAGCGCAACAGTTAGCCCATACTTTGTCCACCTCGTCTTATATACGCCCTATTTTCGCCTCCGAGCCCGTAACGTAGAAAACAGCAACATTTTAACCGATGTAAAAGATAGGTGTTGTAAGATTAATTTGTGTGTTCTAATTCTACTGTCTATAGATTGCACAAGTAGACTTTTAAATAAAACACTTTAACGGTTTAAAACGAAAAACATAATTTTAACTACGGCCCGACGTTTAAATGTTTTAATCGAGAGATTATATTTTAATTGGTATAATGCGAACCTACTTTTTTTTGTTTGAATAATTTACACAACGTATAACGTTGTTATAATAAGAACGTTATTAACGTATTGTTAAATAATTTGATATCCATTACAATTGGGACACGTTTCTTAAATTATACAAACGTCCACAATTTACTTAAATATTCAAATACAGCTTCAGAAACTAGTGAATCTTGACACAACGTAATATTAAATAAAATATAATTCTATTATATAGTTCTTTTTTATTTTTGAATTTAGTGTTCAGATCTCAAACTAACCTTTTTTAAATATATCTTTGTACGTCAGAAGTAAGAGCATTGTTTGAACATGTGCGTTAATAGATAATAGACAAAACATTTTTTTTTTATTAAAATATGTTTTGCAGGCAAATTGTAATAATAATTATATAACTAACTTACCCCAAAAAAACAATTTCGCTTGATTGAAATCCTCATTTTAAAATTACAATAATAGTTATATATATGTAGGCACGACTATGTCATTATTTAACTTCGCATCGAAATTACTCATTCGATCTATTGAATATTGAAACTTTATCAATTTGGCCAGCCAATTAAAAGTTATCAGACTCAATCGTAAAACGTTAAGATATAAACAAACGCCCACATCACATTTCTGATAGACATCGTAGCTTGTAGTACGTTCGGCGCCCACGCACTTCACTCGCCCGTCTGTGACCCGACGTATCTGTCTAACGCTTCGTCTAGGACAATTGAGATCTTATTCTCATATAAGTGATATATTTATCGATATATTTACAATCAAAGTGTATTACTATTATATCGTGTATTATCTTGATCGACGTTCGATATTTGCCTAAAAGTTGAAATTGATTTCAGTCAAATCATCGTAGATTTAAAATTTCTGATTAAAGTTGTTAGTAGATTAAAAGCTAATCTACAATGAACGATAAAACATTTTATAACGGTATAGGCACTGCTTAAAACAAGTTTATAAGACCAAACAAGCTTTTAAGGGCTATTTCTGTCTTCTGTATTTGACAAGAATTATAATTAACCTTTATAGAAACCAAATATTATGTTGGCTGTTAATGAATTCATGAATGTTACAACGATGTTAGTTGGTCAAGGATTTACAAATAAATAAACGACACGACAATTATAGTGATATAATCATTAACTATTTTGGTGGCGTTTCATAATAGTTATAGAAACTGATGGTAAAATAAATAATAATTATTATATGTAACAAATTATAAATGTACTTATGAGATCTATAAAGCTACGTGTCGTGGGTTCAATTCCCGACATGTTACAAAATACTAATTATAATATTTCTTAAACATGTTCTTCTTTACGAAAATTTGCATATAACGAATCGCCGTCGGCTAATGTTAAAGCCGTAAAATGTAATCGTGTTTCGGTTTGTGTTCAAAGCCAAATTAGGTAGATACCGCATTTTTTCCATGAATTAAAATGCTTTTCTGTCCTGTTTCATTACAAAAGATTTATCTTGAATGAAAAATCGATTATATTTTTTTAAATTTACGCTTCGAGGAGGACTTGAAGCGGCATCCAGGGCGTTGCGTGCTGTTCTAATTGAACTACTGAGTCTTACACGTCATCGTCAAATTTTTACAACCGGTTAATACATGTACCTCTCGCACAATGTAATTTAACATTAACCCTTGCTTATGAAGAACGCTGTGAATGCCAGTTAAAGTCCTACCCGAGTAGTAATTTTTTTTTTTCATATTTTTAATTCATACGGCATCACGTGCAATAATATGTAAAAAATATTAAAGTTTTCAAAAGATATGTCTTTATAACATATAAATTTCTTTAAATGAAACCTAATGAAGCCCCAAACAAACAAAGGCACATAATATTTACTCAGGTCGCAGCTATTTCAGGCGGTCAGCTATCTATATTTAAATCATGTCACTGAAAATGCTGTTCTTTTGTTCATGAGAAATGGATCAGCTTTGTCATTCAGGATCTTACTCAGATCTAAATTCAATAACGACTTACGGTCGATTCAAATGTATGCCTATTCTTAAATAAAACACTTTAACGGTTTAAAACCCAATATATTTTAGTTAAACTTATTTGAAAATCATTTTAACCACATCCCGATGTCTCCCGGAGACGACTGTTATAAAGCATTCGAAATGTAAACGAAATATATTTCGAGTTATAACCCGTTAAAAGTATTGTTGTTTAAATGCTACTCGCGTGAACTAGAGACAGTTCTTTATCTATAATTTTTAAATGTATCTATTTTATTTATCATTTCGAGTTAAATTATTGTTAATCGTTAGGTCTATTTTGATTTCGCTTGGTCGGGTCATGTTGACACACTTTAACAGATTAAACCGTGATTTTTTCGGTCCGTAGTAGGCTTATAACGCCGAAATCTGTTTATCGTCTTAAGATGTAGTTATCGGCAAGTAAGCATAATTCCCGAGCACTTAGAAGCAGCAAACAATGCGTTGTTTGTGTGACCCCAAGTTTTGACCGCCCTTCTGGCGCCTGGGCGTATTTTTAAGATTCACGTTGACTCATGCCATCTAAGGTATCCTTTAAAAAGCTCTAAGAAAATATATTTTGTCTAGAATAATGATTTCAACAGTGCGCATGATAGCATTATTTAATAAAACATTATTGACGGTTTAAAACGCGGAATATTTTTTAATTTTACTTAGCTTATTCACAAATGAGAAGAAATACATTACAGCTGCTGCGAAGCATCCGAAATGTCGAATGGTGTTTAAAATTAAATGTAAATAATTTAGACCGTTAAAACTGTGTGTGTCTTAATATTTTTTTTTAAACAAATGAATAGATTTGTTTTTTATTTTGTTCTAATTTAACATAATAAAACTCTAATTTAAACACGTCATTTTAGTTTCCCTTTTAGTAGCGTGTTTTTTAATTACGGTTTTTTTGTACATAAATTTTCCACTTTTAACAGTGTAAAACGCGAAATGTATTACCAACTTTGCTTTAGGATGGATGCTTTATTTCAGTAATATAATTTCGCATTGTAAACCGTTAAAAATAAATTAATTTAAATGTGTACTACTCGCGTAAACTACAGACGATATCTTTTTCCAATTTCAAATGACCACGTTGACCTCCAATCAAATTCGTTGTTCTATCCTCATTTTAAAACTGTCTACATATAACAGACTTGTTACTACAAAACTAATCAACGAACTTCAGTAATATGTAATGACGTTTCAAAAAGTTTGATTAGCGATGTAAGTTAAGTACACACCGATATTGTTTTGTAACTTTTTACTACTATATATGTTTTTCTTTTTTTTTCCTTGAATTAGGTAGTTCCCTTTTATTATACTTATTTACTCGTTAATATAAAAAAAGTATTTTGAATGTCGGTATTATGTTAGGCTCAATAATAAAAGTAAAATAAGCAATATATGTTAAATATGTATCTCGTAAACTTCTTCTATATGCAAACACTGAACGTTTTCTTAATTAAAATAATACTCAGACACTGCAGTTTTATTAGTGTAGGCTTTATTTTAATAATTTCGTCCCCAATAACAAAGACGCCGTCTATTTCGGTTTATTTGTAGTAAGGATGCCCGGAGCTTAAAACTTCTCGACCTTCGTTAACCAAATGCAAAATTCCATTAAGACCAGTCCTGAACTTAAGTCGTTAATAATAAGACTAAAATGAGATAAGTAAAAACGTAGATAAGAAAGGACCATTTCTAAATGATTTGAAGGTTAATCGGATATATTGTAAAATAGAGAAGACAATTAATTGGTCATTCTTCTGATCTTCCGCATATCCCAAGCAAACCCATATAGGCTGACAGCACATCTTCTTTAGATGTTATATGGCTGGGGTATTTTACCTCCCATCTAGTGAACTCTTTGCTTGTTTGTCCTCCTTTATATCTAAGAAATAACTGAAGTACAGCATAAAAGCCTTCTTACACATTATTTATGGACGTATAGCACCTTATGAACTCAAACCCTCTATAGCCGCCTTCGCCATCGCGATGCTTGCTATTCAAGACACTCAAGACCAGACTCATCCAGGTCATATCCACCCCACCAGTGAAGCCTCAGTCTTCCGTTTGCCTTTGATGAGGATCTTGACGCTCTTGCATCCACCATTCTGTGCACATGTCCCAGCCACTTGAGTCTGTTGCTTTTAATAAATTGGAGTTGTAGGCTTTTTCGATAAATTGGATATACCTAACACCGTCAAGGAAGAGTTCCTCTCTTGAAGCTTAATCTTTCTAGAATTAATTATTCCATGTTTGATAAAACCGTTTTCATGCTGCATATCAATAATAATTTTAAAAAATAGGCATTCAATAGTTCGTTTGAATGAGCAGATATTTTCAGTACTAACAGATCTCGACCATTGACAACGAAGAGCGACCTAAAAACATTTTTTGATCCAAAAGCGTATAGTGAGATATAGCAATAAAATGTTTAAGTGTTAAGTGTTAGACGTAACAATGAGTGGTCTGGGTCCACAAAGCGTGTGGGCGGCGCAGAAGAGACTCGAATCTTGGGCTCGTGCAGCGAGGGAGAGGACGTCCAGTGCGAGTAGTGGACAAAGTCACAACTCCACGGATAGCTATGGAGATGACAAGTCACACGGAAGTCCAAGTGTACGTATTAGAGACTGCTTATATTTTTAACCAACAGTGAAGGTGTAAGAGGCTCGTTAGTCTAATTGTAGCAATATATTAATAATCAACGGGTCGTTGCTTCTTTCCCCAACGGATCCCGAACAATACGACCGAAAAATTCTTAATATTAAATGGATGACAGGACTATCATAATTCAAGTTTGATCGTGTTTTATCAAATCATTTTCAAATGTCCAAAGTCAAAATAGAGAAGAGTTAAATTGAGTTATTTTTTATGATGACAACAGGCAAGCATGAAGTACACTTGATAAAAAGTGAATACTGGCATATGACATCTTAACAAGATGCGCTGTCGGTCTATTTTCGGCTTCGGATATTCGGAAATTCACAGACTAAAACGCGGTCAAACTTTAGGATTTTTTATATTGAGACGATAGTTTGTTATCAGGACAGAATTTTGTAGACATGACTGAATACTAATTTATAAAGCTGAAGAGTTTGTTTGTTGGCTTGATAATCTCAGGAGCTACGGTCTTGAATTGAAAAATTAAAATTATTTTTGTGTTGGTTAGAGCATTTATGGAGGGAGGCTATAGGCTATAAAACATTGCGCTGTGACTAATAAAAGCGAATATACAGCGGGAAATGTGAACAAAAATTTATCATCTCTGTGGGTTTCAGATGCGTACGCACATAGGCGTATCTTACACTGGCACAGCTAGTGTAAGATAAAATTATATAACGTGTAGTGTAGATATCTTGAACAAACATAATATTTCTAATCAACAATGATTACTATTGTTTTATCCGATAGAACAGTCAAAGCATCAGAGTACTTAACACTGGTAAGTACCAAATAAAAACAATTGATGCCTGTTCTGTTCTTGCACTCTCAGACTACGGCTGGACAAGAAAAAGAAGTTAGCTCTCGAAAGTTCAACACAAGCGGTCCCTCTCGTTTTTATTAGTTCCCATTCTGTAAGGAACTTGGATACTAACGTTAGCATCGTGTTTTTTCTATTTTACATTCGCGTCAAACGGAAACGGCTCCGACCCAATACTTCTGATTGGTTAGTTTTATCTTTGACTATAAAATGCTCGGTGCACTGACGCTTTGTAGCCTAGGTTCTTGGAGAAACTAGATATTTTTTGAAGACAAAGGTCTTGGTTATCAATCAACTTCCCTTCGTTCGAATTTCGTATCGTATCTTGTATACGATTTCAAGTCCTAGTGAGTATTGATTAAAATAAAATAATTGTTATAAATAAGTTTAGTTATATATAAAATATTATGTACTCCTTTGTTTACCTTTAATTGGTTTATTACAGTTATCTTGATGTTATCAGAATCGGTAATATTTGTAGCATGTAATGTCAATGAACATAATTAAATAAATGAATAACATATACATCACTGTTCTAGCTATAATATGACCGATTTAGACGTGGTTGAGATTAAAATACAATTTAATAACCGTTTCCCTTGATAAAATTGAATCATATCTAGTACTCTGGGCTTAGTTCTAGGAAAAACGTTCTTTCTTCCATTACTTTGTATGGCTTTGCTTCAATTTAAATTGTTCTATTTTTCTGACTAATAAGTAAGTCTTTCTTCATTCATCGGAATTAAAACAATATTTTAGATTAAATAAAATGTAAGATTGTCGAATTCGAGCAAATTGAGTTTCAATTATATTTTTTTAATAAAACACTTCAACGGTTTAAAACGCGATACATATTTAAACTAACCATGACCACGGCTGCTGCAAAGCATCCGAAACGTCGAGCCGTAGTTAAAATAATTGTCAAATAAGTTTAACTAATATATATCGCGTTTTAAACCATTAAAGTGTTTTATTTAAACGTGTACTACTCGCGTGCGTATTTCAATTATTCTGTAAACATTTTTGCATGTGACTATAATTCCCCTACCTTATCCTACTAACTGTTTTTCCCTGAAAATACGAGTAAAAAGAGCAAATAGATAGAAAAATCCATTGGTGCGTAGCCGATAACGGGCCCATGACTTCGGAATTGATAATCGAATGTTTGCGAAGATAGCTTACCAAGTATTACAATCATTTGAGAAGCGGAAAAAATAAACGGAAATACTAAAATATAGCTTATAAATATTCCTTACGATAAGGCTATGGATATAGTCTTTATAATTGAATATATAGATTATATAAATTAAAAATCGATTATAAATAAAAAAAAACACGCCACGGGTAGGAATTGAACTGGCATCGATAGGAGTTTCGTGTTGTTGCTCTAACGAATTGAGCTACCATGTCCTGGATATAGAATATAATCGTAGTTACGTTCTTTTATAAACTCGAAAACGAATTCAAATACAATGATGTTTAAGACTAAAAAACACTAGCTTATTAGGTTGCTGCTTTAACAACCAAATGATCAGGTCCCTCCTGTGTCCTAAATCCCTTTAAAATAAAGCTAAGCATGTAAGAACTTAGTATGTAGTTACTTTTATGTTAATTGTTAATACAACGGAAGAGACTAGCCGCCAACGATACAGGGAATCCTAATCAGGGGGCTAATACACCTTAAGACGATGTAAACAATGTAAACAATATTGTTTTCTAAAATAAAGAATTATATTTGTATTTTCAATTTATAAAATTCTATATTTGAAAATATTATAGTTTTTAAACTGAGTTGATAAAGGTATATTTCTCTACAGGAAATGCTGATACCGAAAGAGCACTGCCGCGTTCAGCCCTTGAGTGAAACACGGACAGCTACGTCACTTCCGCACGCGAGACTCGCCCGAACACCTTCCATTTCTTCCCAGAGCAGCCTTGACAGTGGCACTTCGAGAGCTACTGTAAGTATACTGCTTTTAAATAAAACAATTTGACGGCTTAAAACGCGATAAATATTACTTAAACTTATTTGAAAATTAAATATCGTCAATAGTTTACGCGAGTAGTAAACATTTGAATAAAACACTTTAACGGTTTAAAACGCCATATATTTTTGTTTTACTTATTTGAAAATGATTTTTCCCATGACCACGGCTGCTGCAAAGCATCCGAAACGTCGGGCCGAAGTTAAAAATCATTTTAAAATAAGTTTAACTAATATATCGCGTTTTAAACCGTTAAAGTGTTTTATTTATTTTAAAATTATTTCACTTACGGCCCGACGTTTCGGATGTTTTGCAGCAACCGTAGTTACAACATCCGAAACTTTGAGCAGTTAACTGCTACCCGATAAAAATGTTTATCTTTTCTCTGAATTCGAACCTAGAACTTCTCATTAACATTTCATTCGGTCATAACATTCATCGGTCGAGCTGCATTACGTGTAGCGACGTTAAATTATAAATTAGACCATTAACGTGTACTCTAATAACAATTTAAATGCGTGACATTATTATTATGCTCAAACGAACCAACTTTGGCATTAATATAACAATACGTCATAAAGGGAATTCGTAACACGAGCGAAAACGGGTCACCCATGCCAAGGACGTCCGATCAAAAGGCTGTGTTAAATCTGAATTTAATTGTATATTGCTCTATTGTGTTTAGACAACAGAATAGTATGTTTCCATAAATGAGCGAGTGTTCGGAATTGGTTAAACTATGTCTATTCGTATAGCACATTATTTTATATTATAGTAAGTTCAAAAAATTCAAAAATCTCTGTATAATATTGATCTGTGTTTATCTACACTAATATTATGAAGCTGAAGAGATTTTTGTTTGTACGTTGCATGCACTGTCAAATCGGCTCAAGATATCTAAATATATATATATGAATGTGTGATTATTCTTTAAATTGTTAAAAAGAATCCACGAATGTTTATGCCTATTTTTTAAGATTAACTTGCAAGAACGAAGGACCACATCGTGGGTAAGAAATATAATTTTTATAGCTGGCGAAAAATAAATTATGATGCGTAAAATAACTATTCTAAGCGGACGAAGTCGCGGGCACAGCTAGTAAAATATATATAGTCCCAACACTCAGGGCAATTACTCAAAATACATTAATTGCGTTGAATAAATATTTGTTGTGTGAAATCCCGTTTCCTTGTGGGGCATGGGGCGAACACATTTTGGTGTCCGTTTCAGTGAACCGTTCTTTAATAGGCAGGTAGTTGATCAGGTTTCTGTGCCCTGCCTGACCGAAACAATTTTTTCGTTTCCCTGGGATTCGCATTCAGGACTCCTCGCACAATGCTAGGCAATACGTTTAACCATTTGGCTACAGAGACGGAATAAATTGTGATGCCCAAAATAACTTTTCCACGCGGACGAAGTCGCGGGTACAGCTTGTAATATATATAGTCCCAATACCCAGGGCCATTACTCAAAATCACCACGTCACGTTGTAATATAAAACGCAAATACAAACCGATATATCCCCCATTTAATTGCATTGAATAAATATAATTAATCAAAATGCAAATATGAGCAAGTGACGCGCGGGAAACGAAGCGTCAATCAATCGAGCGTGTTTGTTCCAATATTCATTTTTATCGTGACTGCCAAACCAGTCGTACGTTCCAGGAATTATCTGCTTCGCTAATAATCCAATATGCGTCCTGGTTTAATGTATTTTACTACTTCTATTCTAGGAAGAAATGGATGGTTATCTGCTAGGATTATATAGGATACAACATATGTATTGTGATGGACCAATCCATACTTCTATACTAATATTATAAATGCGAAAGTAACTCTGTCTGTCTGATTTAAATAAAATTTGGTACACAGATATTTTAGAGCCTAAGAAAGTACATAGGCTACTTAGGGGTTATAGGGGTTGAAAAAGGGGATGAAAGTTTGTATGGAAATTCGTAGTTTTTGAAGCTAGAACAATGAAACTTTCTTCTTTGGCTTTTTGGGAATAGGGGTGGGGGTGGGAGTGAGTGTAGGAATGACAGTGGGAGTTAGAGTAGGAGTGCTGTGAAGTGAGTGTGTTGCGACAAAGTAGCACTTACAACGTAGATGGGTTAGCAATAGTGGGTAGCAATTCGTATGGCAAACGTACCTGTTACCATGTTACCTCTGTTCTTGAACGACTTGGACAGTAATACGCACGACATGCTGTTGGATAGGCCGGATAGATGCAGGGGGGTTTTAAAGAGCTTTTATAGATGTATGTCGTAAGGTTTGGTACCTTACGACATACATCTATTCGGTTCGCATAAACCGACAGACAGTTTCTTTACCGGTTTATTATTGTAAAATAAAATTATAATGTAAAAGAAATTAAATAAAATAAATAAATAATAAATATTCCACGCGGACGAAGTCGCGGGCACAGCTAGTAGCATATGTATAGTCTGTTGTCGAAATTTTGTTTTTTTTTTTATATTGTCTAATGCCTTTTTTACCAGTTAATAATAATAATTTACTTTAATACCATGTAAATTTAAAATCAATATTTCAGTGCACAGATCAATATTATAAATGTGATCCAATTTAAGAACTTAAAGCTGAGATATAAATAATATAACAATTAATTATAAGTTCTATTCACAAAAGCTTTCCATCAGTACTAGGTTCGTGTCCTATCTAATGTTAGACCCGATGGGGATCGAACCCAACGACCCGTTGATTATTAGCCTCATTTCTACCATTACACCAACGAACCCGTTAAAAGTGTATCGTAGACTAGAGTAGTATTTTTCATTTAATAAAGAAAATTAAAAAGTTTTCTTTAAGAAAAGATTCAGTTATCCTAACAGTTGAACTTCAAGCCCAATTGTGCACTCACTTCTTAACCTTTGAATTCAATTCTGGAATACAAGACAGCCTTTATACGTTTGACATTCGAGTATCTACAATGGAATGTGATCTGCTCCGATGCACGAACGAAATGAAATTGATATTGCATCTTAGACGTAAGAATTTACGTAAAAGTTTGCGTTACGTTACTACTTACGTTAACTGTAAAAAAATACTACAATATTAGTTATTTAAAAAATATAAATCTTCCAAAAATATAACCTTATCATTAATAAATCGTGAATATCACCGTTCTTTCTTCGCTATCAATTAATTATGTACAACTCACTGCACTAAAACGAACTAAGTTAATAATTGATTTTTTTTAATTATAAAATGTCGTTGTAATTTATGTAACGTCATCCTTCTTCATGTTGTGTATTTTTAAACATGAATAAACGCATTGAATTTTGGCTTTGGCGGCTCATATTAGTCAAATTTCTCACGCATTTATTTTTAATAAGATTAAATAATAACTAACATTTAACAACTCGTATTTAAGACCCTCATAGGTGAAATTAAATATTGTTTTTAGTATTTTCTACTGTATTTCTCTCTGTCTACGCGATTAGTAATAATTTTAACGGGTTTAAAACGCTGAATATATATTTAACTTATTTACGAGTTATTTTAACTATTCCTGTTCTACGGTCGTGTCGGTTCGTATAAATTAATAAAAAAATCTTGTTAGAAGTGTTTTATTTAAATATGTTTTTCAGAGCCATAGAGGGTCGTCCCCAGCGATACGCACCTTTGCCCCTGATGGGCGTACTCTAGAAGCAGGTATTAGCGCTCCACGATCCCCTTCACCCCTGAGAGCTGCCTCCCTGGATGTCCGAGCTGCCCCATTGGCACATGGATCTTTAGCTTCGCTTGCTGACTCACAAGCACCGCCGAGCCCAAGACACATTGTACCCCCTCGATGTTTATCCCCACTGCTTATGCCCCCCAGGTAAGTTACGTTACTTAAAATTAATTTCAGAACATCATTTGAAGATGCTGATGCTGCTAACATAATAACTAATTACTATACATAATCGGCACTACACTTTGAAAAAAATAGGAATGTCAAACATCGATATGTTTGACATTCCTATTATATCCCTCGATATATAATCATATTTATCTCCTAAGTTCAGTCAAAATCTTCAAAAGTTCATGAGCAAATTATTTTTTTACTGACGGTGTGAAAGTCTAATACACGCCCATGTCGGGCAATTATAACGTGGAGAAAATAGTAAACTGTACAACAACCTCCATGGAGAGAATAGCTGACCAGAACCACTACACATGCTTTCGAGGGAGGATTAAAAAAAAAAATTACTTATCCTTTTTGAAATATACTACAATATTTTAATTTAAACACTAAATACTGTCTATAGCTTACGCGAGTAGTACACATTTAGATAAATCACTTTGACGGTTTAAAATGCGATATATTTTAGTTAAACTTGTTTAAAAATTATTTAGGCTGCAAAGCATCCGAAACGTCGGGCCGTAGTTAAAAAATATTTTTTCAACAAGTTTAACTAAAATATATCGCGTTTTAAACCGTTAAAGTATTTTATTTAAACATTACTACTAAAGAATAATGAATGTTCGTTGTTTCATGGATTAGCTATTAAACAACGATATTAGAAGTTTGAGTGAAATAAAAACGACGATGTAGGTAGTTTAAATAATTTCATAATAACTCTTCTCTGAGCATAATAAGTCTTCTTTAAATCAGTAATAATATAGTTAAACAAAAAGAAGCGAATACAATTTGGCGATTTGAACTTATAAGCCGGTAAACGTAGGGATTTCATGTTTCAAAACGTTTCTTAAACAACTAAACTTGTTACTTCAACTTAAAACTTCTAAGTGAACGTTTTACTTTTAACGTTGAGGCTATTTTTATCCAACATACGTCAAGTAATAGCTTTTTGGTTAGTAAATATGAACTTCTCTTGCGCTTAAAATCTTTATTTCAAATCCGTTTAAAAATATGAGAATAAGAATTGTCGGTAGTTTACGCAATTGGTATATCGACGACTAACGCCCCCCGTGACTACGCTTGCTGCCACTCAAAGCATCAGGCCTTAATTAAGTTAAATAAAATATTTCAGGGTTTCAACCCATAAAAGTATTTTATTAAATGATGTACTAATTGCGTAAACTACCGACAATACTTATTTGTTTTTTTATAAGATTTATATTTCGCGTTTTAAACGGTTATGTCTTTAATTTAAAAAACAAATAGCTTTACTCGCTTTTTTATCACTCATCCAATTTATAGTTTATTAGTCTATAATATTGTGCGTTTGATTCTATAACGACGTATAATAAAAGGTATTTGCGTATAACTCATTGTGGTTATAATTCCATAGCTTGTTTAGAGCACGCAAGCCAATAAACCCATTTCTCGTTTAATATCGAAAGTTAAATAGCTTTTGGGAAACCACGAATTTGGTGTTCACCCTAAAAATTTATCGATTCTGTATGAAATGCCTCGTAGCTCGTAGCTCGTAGTACTCATGCTACGGAAGTGCTACGATATGTAGTGACTCGTAGCGTATCGTAGTTTAGTTTTTACGTTTTATTATCTGTTTATGAAGTGTTGGTCGATTTTTTTGACCAATTTATTTTTTTTATAATTGACAAGGTTGTAAGTCTAGTATAGTAATCAAGGTAGCGATGTATAGGTAAAAATACATCGTGACCCACGTGTAATACAGTTTTCATTAATAGTCATTCTATTTTTTTATGGACACGGGCACATGAACCCAAGAACACGTTTGGTCTTTTAGCTCTGCCAATTAAACGACCGTGCTATGTTCAGAAAATCCTTTTCAGTAAATGATTTGTTGCAAAGATTACTTTCAAAAACAAACCTCAGGTGAAACAATGTAAAGCACTGTATTTGAGTCGAATATTTCTTCTATAATGCACACTACGAAACAATTTAACATTAGTCATTTTTATCGCGTTATTAAGATTTTTTTTCATGGAGTTTATCATTGAAAGTACAGAAAAGAATATTAGTTCAAATATTATGAAACCGCATGTATAACAGCGAAAAATATGGCTTTGTACAATCTTCGCGACTAAAATCTATTTCCACGTAGTTTAAATTTAAAAATTGAATTTGAAAATAGACCAGGTTTATTTTGAAATTTTGATAGACACCACCTGAAAAGCGCTTTCAGTACAATCTGTTAGTATTCGCAGAATATGATGGGTCACGTCGTCATGTAGTGAAACGAAAATAAATTTGACTTATTTAGATGTTTAATCACGAAAGGCAAATTAAATGGCTTGGCTTTGTTAATTGATTGTGCAACACGTATGGTTTTTTTTTATTTTCATTATTTGATTTTTATAGTAAAAACATCCATCGGTATCGTAAAATAAGTGACGTAATGATTTGCTCGCCTATCTACATTACTTGGAATGGCTGATAATAATCAACGAGTCCTGGGTTTCATCTTCACTGAGTACTACATCTTTTCAATCAATTTATATTTTTTCTGGAACATGTTGGAATTTGTCTGGGGACCTGGATATTAAATGGGTGGGGGTAGGACCCACATCGAAATTCCATCCGGGTCACAAACGCCATTTACAGAAGAAAAAGTGTGGTCTTTATCGCGTTTCGGTTTCAGTGGCCGTCTACTATACATAAAACCAAAATAGGTCGCATCATGTTAAAATTTATGTTGTATGGAAAACGAATAAATAAACCTATATAGCTAACTTGAGAGACGGCACACCCTCATTGAGTAAAGGATGCCCTCGATCTATATCGTTTCTCGTTCCAATATAATATTAATAACGCGATGTCATAAGTAGGTACTCGTTCGAAAATAAATTAAACGGGGTTTTAGAATATTTTAACAAAGGTCCAGGAAATCAATCTGGCACGAGCGTGCCATCCCTCCGGGTCTCCACACAAATTGAAGCAAACTCAATTTACCTCCCCTTAGAACATTATATTATGTTTGTACGGTATACATCCCAGCCCTACATCCGCGTACTACCGAAAACTTACACTTAGTTACTGAAATATTAATTACTTGCATACTGCGTGAATACTGTCTACATAGAATTATATTTTAAATGTATGACTATCAATAAGAACATCGAACAAACAAACCGACAAACCAAAAAGTACATACACACATATCTCATATTTTTATCTGTGTTTAGTACAGATAAAGAAATAAGATACAAAAAATAGAAGTTACAAAAATATGTAGCGACAAACGACGTATACAATAAAAGTATAGTAATGATGTACACTTACATAAAAAAAAAAACAAATACATCGCGTTGTAGTTCTTAGTGATAAAATAATAGAAATGCGTCATCAGCAGTTAAAGGAAATTGGTAACGATAGAAAAAGCTAAATAGATTATATTATTAAATTTTTGGAGTACTTGTATTCCCCGTTTATTATATATTTCGCGTTATAAACAGTGAAAAGTGTTTAAAAAATACACGTTCTATTTAAAAAACGGCATTCCACCGTTTATTTTATACGTCCAGGGCGCGAAAATGCGACGACGAAGCCTCTATAAACAAAATAAATTCAGTCAAATGCGAAATGACAATGCCTGTTATAAATGTAGACTGAAATATGCCATCCGTAAACAGACAACAACGTATATTAAAAACGTAGTATATTGAAAACGTACGGCGCCAGTTTTACCCAGGGAATATTCACGTGTTACCTTTACATATTATTTTAAAAATATCACAGACTAACAGTGTTAGGGACTTCGTTAGTTCGCGTAGAATAATTATTTTGGACATCCAAATTTGTTTTGACTATCCAGCATCCACATCGGACGCGTCCCGTGGCTCGCGACCCGTCGTTCTTGCAAGTTAATCTTCAAAGATAGACATATAGTGTCGCGGAATTTTTTTTAGATCATTTTAAAAAGAATCATTCTTTCATATTTTTTGGGTATCTTGAACCGTTTTCGCAGCGTTTGCATAGGAAACCCACAGAGAAGAAATTTTCCCCTGTTGTTTTCACATTTTACGATGCTTCTTCGCTCCTATTAGCCACATCGCATATAGCCTTCCTCGATAAATGTTCTAACTAACACAAAAATGATTTTTCAAGTAGTTCCTGAGATTAGCGCGTTTAAATAAACAAACAAACTCAGCTTTATATATTAGTATACATATTTCCGCATATGGACATAATCTACTGTATCGAATTGAAAAATTATGTCAGTGATGGATAAACAATTTATCGTGGAAAAATATAACATTACACCCTGTGGTCAATACGAGGGAAGAGACAGTGGAAAAGTTAAAAGAAAAACGGGGAAAATTATTGATTACGAGAAGTTCCGAAAACGGCTCAAGAAAGCAAAAAATATGTACGAAAGAATGATTTCTCTTTCAATTATCTTAAACACATTTGGGACAGTTCATATCTCATCTTTCAATATTAACTCGCAAGCACAACGGGACAGCTAAAACTCATAAAGCTGAGAAATCTAATCAGCTTAATTATAGCTGGCCAAAAATAAATTTTCATGCACAAGATAACCGTTTCACGCTAACGAAGTCGAGGGCATAGCTAGTTTATTTATATTTTTCATAACATCTTATGCAAATGATATAGATGAGAAATACAGGATGAGTTGAACTGCTCGACTGTTTTGCTTACACAGCCTTCATTCAGTGTCCCCAATAATAATATTGCTACTGTCTATAGTTTACGCGAGTAGTACACATTTAAATAAAACACTTTAACGGTCACGGGGAGACTCCCACCACGGCTGCTGCAAAGCATCCGAAACGTCGGGCCGAAGTTAAAAAATAATTTTCAAATAAGTTTAACTAATATATCGCGTTTTAAACCGTTAAAGTGTTTTAGTTAAATAATAATATTGCTTCTTTAGTTCAATGTTTCTAGATCGGTATAGTGTCGTTTGGCCGAGACACTTCTCTACTGCAGCCTCAATACTATTCGTTCACAATTGACGTCATTTAATCCGTTAATTGCTTTCGCTTTAACACCGTAACTATTTCGTGTTTTTCATTTTATTTTGATGCTGGCTCTGATGAACTTTTTAATCGAACTTATTATATAGTATGAGACACTAAAAATAGCTCTTCGAAGAGCGCGAATCTGAGAATAGATATATGAGATAGAACGCGATATATATTAGTTAAAATTATTTGAAAGTTATTATAACTACTGCCCAACGTTTCAGAGGCTTTGCAGCAGCCGCTGCAAATAAGTAACTAATACATATATATATATATATATATCGAGTTTTAAACCGTTACAGTGTTTTATTTAAATGTGTACTACTCGCGTAAACTACAGAAAGTGTTAACGTTTTTTCAGAAAACATAACAAATTTACATTAATAAACTAATTTTACAAACAATATGCGTATTATAAATATAATATTAGACTACTAAATACAGATAAAATAATAAAGTTGTCTCTGAAAAGGGAATCGACCGAGCTACGTTGGGACTAATGTCCCAACTGTGATATTCTGTGGCCCCATCAGAGGCCGAGCTAACAAATGATACAGTTTGACATTAATTCTATTACGTATCTTTTTTAACCCTTGTATAAAATTACTTACATTTTTCACTACACATAACATAAAAGATGTTTATTCACATTTTTATGATTCTCCATCTAATGTGTTTACTATACTTGCATAGTTCTTCAGAGTAGAATGCTGATGACAGCTTTTTTTGCCATTTATGATTTTTATGTTATTTAAAACCGTTAGGATTCGTCATATGTTATGTATCTATTTGTCGAAAAATATACAGGAAACTTAAAATCTGACAAAGTCCCTAGGCTAAGGAGTTTAAACGCAATATGTTTCCGCTCCCCTATCCTACGCAAGAAAAGTGGATTTCCCATGCTAAAAATATTTTTAACACATGGTATATTACTGAAATTCCCTATACACGGTCCACTTACCATCGTTAATGGAAAAGCACTTTACTTAATGATTCAAAAGTTATTTTAGTTGAAGCAATCATATCGGTCCCAAGGCCCAAGGCCCCAGGCACAACTGTCAACAGCACACGTAATTGTAACTGAATTATTTAATAGGACTCGAAGGACGAGCGCATAGCACAACAACATCGGGTACTCTAGAATTTAAAAAACTTAAATGTTTATTATTAATGCTAATTTTTAAATGTCTTATATGTAATAAATAATTTTATTTGTTCCATGGGTGCTGTATTGGAACTGTCAGGTCGTAAAGAATAGAATTATTAATATATCTTAACCCGTAAAAGTATTTTACTTAAATCAACTATACAAAACTACGTTTCGATTGCTTTTAATTTCCTACCTTATATTGCTTGTACCATGCTCAATAATAAATGTGAAAAATGTGCTTCATAAGCCCGAGCACTTGAATATTCACAAAGCCTCTGCCATAGCGAGTGAACATTAAAATTTAAGGAGCTTTTAAAAGTTTTCGTTGTTTATCGCCATATCCAAGGACGATGGTCATTTTGCCCTTGTGTTTCCAAAGTCAGGACATATTATATTTCCACACGTAGAGAAAAACGGACTACGTAGTAGACAAATTTTTAGGTATATCTTATTTAAATTATAAATTGAAATAATTACGACTTAACCGGCATCCTCGTTCAGTGCTGTTGCTCCAACCAATTGAGCTAACGACTTATCGACTACACGTTATCGTCGAATTTTTTGCAACTTATGGATACATGCACCTTTCGCAAAAAGTGTTATATGATAAAAATTTATTAAAGTATAATAACTCTTGCAAAATGATTCACAGACCATGCCAAAATGCACAACCTTAATATTCATTTTGAAATTTCAGGCGGATAGATCGTAGCAACTCCTTGGTGGAAAGCAGCAGTGGGGTAGGACCTCTGAGCCCGGGTGGTGGAGCAACGATCAGCTCCTTGGGTGCCCTACAGCCCGACCTATACACGAAGAGAGAGGCCCCCTTGGTGATAGACTTGGAAGGCCTCGGGCCGTCACTGGGCAGAATCCATTTAAGATTGAAGTACGATTTTGATAGATCTGATTTGGAAGTTCATCTTATTGAAGGTAATTTATTTTTATTATGTTATATTCTATAATATTGCATATATGAGGGCGCTAGTGGCAAAGTAGCCTAACTGAAATTTTATTTTGAAAACTTTATTATTTTTTACATGTGCACATGAAGGCACTGTATAATTTATAAATCGAAAATTAATTGAAAAATGTTTGACTCGGACAGGACTTGAACCGGCATCGTCAGCGTGCTCTACCAAGACTCAAGCTCAGACTCGGTAGCTCAATTGGTAGAGCAACAGCACGGAACGCTGACGATGACAGTTCAAGTCCTGCCCGAGTCGAATTCTTTTTTTTTTTCAATTTATTTACGATTTTTAAATACTGTCTATAGTTTACGCGAGTAGTACACATTTAAATAAAACACTTTAACGGTTTAAAACGCGATATATTAGTTAAACTTATTTGAAAATGATTTTTAACTTCGGCCCGACGTTTCGGATGCTTTGCAGCAGCCGTGGTCTCCCCGTGACCACGAAAAAAATTGTTAACAATAGTCTTACTATATTCCAGCCCACGATTTAGCTGGCTACGAGGCTGGGGGCTTCAATGACCCCTATGTCCGAGTGAGCCTCATGCCCGAGGTGGACACGAGAGTCCGCCAGACCCCAGTTCATAGGAACGAAGCCAACCCCTTCTTCGATCAGCACTTCAAGTTTCCAGTATCGCATGATGAGCTCAGCGATAAGACCTTGCTGCTTCAAGTGTTTGATTATGATAGGTGCGTATGCGACCTTAGTATAGTATGTTGATATAAATAGGAAGGTACTTTGTAAGGACTTCGGAAAACTATAAAGTATTTGTTTTAGCTAATAAATATGATTGCAGTCTCGAAGACTGGCTTTGTAATTCAATGGTTAAACGTGTTGCCTACATTTGCGTTAAGCGCTAGAGGTTCTAAGGGTTAATCCCAGGAAAACAATAGATTATTTTGGTCTGGCAAGGCACAGAAGTCTGATCTACTCGCCTGTAAAAGAACCGATCAATTAAACAGACACAGAAATATATTCGCTTCACGCCCCATGTTTTCACACGGGTTTTCACAATTTTAAGGTCAATTTGATAAAGGTCCGTCCACCTTTTAAAATGTTACTTTTGACGATGAGTTTTTTTTCTTAAGTCGCATAATAGTATGCGCTATAATACGGTGGTTAATGCAGAATGGAACATTCCAGATTTTCACGCAACGAAGTAATGGGCTCCGCGAAGATTCCTCTATCGAAGGTAGAGGTCGCTGGCGGTGCCGAGGTGTGGGCGGAGCTCTCTCGCGAACGGCGCCCGCCTGAGGAGCTGCAAGAGTTATTGCTTTCCTTATCTTACCTGCCTTCTGCTGAGCGACTGACTGTCGTCGTGCTTAAGGCGCGTAACCTTCTACCACCCCAAGAAGGGAAGGATGCATTGGGTATGTCATAGAGTAGCGTAGAGTAGGTATAAATATTCTGACAAAATGCTACATACCCCAGGCACAGGCACCTGTAATGTTTGTCCTTGCACTGTGTTAATAGTCATAGCAAAACGTACGCTGATGAATAGATGCCACTTTCTATTGTTTTAACTATCTTCTCCTAAAGAATCATACCAATTCGTCGCTCCGTTTTGCCGTGAAAGAAGGACAAACAAACACTTTCACTTTTATAAAATATTATAATGATATACTATATACAATAAAAATTTACTAATAAGTATGGATAAAAACCTCATTAGGTTACATTACTTTCCAGATGTATACGTAAAAGTATACCTACTCGTCAACGGAAAACGTGTGAAAAAGAAGAAAACAAATAGAAAAGAGATAAACAACCCCGTGTGGAACGAGGCTCTATCCTTTAGTCTCTCTTCCGCTAATCTTCAAGAGGCCTCTATTGAGGTATGACCAAATTTTTGTCGTTTGTTTAAACAATTTCATGTCGAATCAATTATTTTTACCATTTCCGTATCAAGTTAAATTATGTTAGCAAATAAAAAGCTTGACATGAATAAGGAAAGAAAATTACTTAGACACTGTACGTATCCAAAACATTGAATGAAATTTTATTTTAACTGCGGCTAAACGTTTTGGATGCTTTGATGCAGCCGTAGTCACGGGAGAACCTAAAACGGAGGGTATGACTTTTATTAAAGTCAAATCTGTTACGCTAACGCCATCTGTTTGGTATTTAGAGAAATCAAATACCAAAGGCAAACTCCTTAAAATGCGAAATATTTTAATTGATTTATTCACATTTTATTTATTTATTAATAATACGATCATATTAAATTATATATTAATAATCAGTTTTAAGAGTTTTAGTTTAAGGAAATATTTAACACATTACTACTAAATTATTATATATAGTAAAATGTGTATGTGTGTATTTGTCATTATCTCTGATTTCCTTGATCCAGATATGTGTGGTGACGGGCGGCAGCAACAACCTAGTCGTGGGCTGGTGTTGCGTGGGCGCAGCTGAGCCCGCAGCGGAGGGCCGCCATTGGGCGCAGATGGCTCAAGAGACGCGCAAAGCGGTGGCCATGTGGCATACCCTCAGATAGATCACTCGGATGGAGATGATTTTGTGACCTCATTGGTAGTGCTACCTTTTTCTTTCAAATTATCTATACTATTATAAAGATGAAGTGTTTGTTTGTTTGAACGCTCTAATCTCAGGAACTACTTGTTCGAGTTTAAAAAAGTATGTTGGTTTATTGAGGAAGGCATATGTTATGTCAAGTGTACAAGAAATGAAAGAACTTATTGTTATAATTTAATAATCTCTCTGGCCACTTTGTATCTCTTTCTTCAACGGATTGTGGGAAAGAGACGACATTCTGTTGTTATTACGTTTCGAAAGAGGTAAGATCAAATCAAATCTGTCAGTTGTCACTCAAATGTGTTTAATATCTAACAGGCTCTTTGATGTAATGGTATCTACATTGTTTGTCCTCCTATATCATAAAAAATATATATTCAAAATAAATAACCGTACCTACATGTATGAGGTCACAAAAGCACGCCAGATAGGTAAGACGACAATTCGTTCGTAGCTAACGTGTTATAATATTGAATCTTCCTATATCGTACCTACCAGTGTATCTTCTATACTCCTAACTGTGGGCCTATTAATGGAAGTTAACTGATAAATGTTAAAATGTCTCGTTAAACGGTTCTCAACGAGATTAAAATTATATATAATGCGATGTTGTTTGAGCTTTGAAACACCAAATAAATCTTATGAATTTACAGAGTTTTATATGAGAGTTTATAAAATTGGAATATTAAAGAAATATTAATAATTTAAATGTTCTACGACGCCCACAGTTCTATCCTGTCACGATGTGTACCTTATTGTGTCTAGTCATTACGTGATCTTTTATTTTTAAGATTTCTATAAAATATATCGAATTTGATTCCAGAATATACGTATTTTTGTCTAAATGTGTATCAATGTGAAGGGATATTTTACGTGTTATTTTCTTTTACAATATCTGATTAAAGTATCTGTTTTTAATAATATTTGTTTCATTTTATACGTGACCACTGCCCGATCTTACTGTTAGCAATATGGCGGCATATCCTTCGTCTATTATAATTATATCATTACTGCTTATATACTTAGTAACCATGCTTGAAACTAGGATTTGAAAAATCGTAATCTAATTCCAATAAAACAACCATTTACAATATTGTATTTTATTGGTAATATCTTTTTAAACTATGTACATCATGTCAAATGTCTTAACCTTAAAAACTATGATAGTATCACATTCACAACAGTTTTACCATTGGTGTGGAGTTCGGTGGCACGCCAGCCTCCAGTCAGTCTTATCACTACAAACCACTAAAAACTTACTCGACACTTACCGCTACCTGATGGAAGGATCCTGCGCGAACACGCCAACTAGAAATTGTATAAATCAAAAATGAATTATAAGAAAGTGAGATAAATAAGAGGGTAATTACCTTAAATCTTGTAAAGTTACAATAAAGATGCTTCTATGTTTTTTTTTCATTACAAACCAATATGGCAATTATAGTTTTATGACAAATAGTAATTTTCCTTGATTTTTAATAATAATTAGCAAATAACTTGCAAGTATTAAAAATAGTATGCATAACTGAAATGTACAGAAAACATAAAATAGTACTAAATTCAATGAATGTATACCGGCACGACATTTGAAGCAAATAATGAGTTTGAACTATACCAAAAACTATCATCCTCAAATTGAACCGTTCTTCAGGACGAAGAACACAAAAACGGCATGAAAAAGCATTCACAATAAAAGATATTGACGACACATCCCCAAGCATGCATTATGAATAACAAATCTCAAATACTTTACACAGCAGAAATTCCGTTGGCAGTCTGGCACATTTTATGGGAGAGGGGAAAATGTTACGTGTCATTTGTGTCGCTTTCTGTGTTTGTGTGTCTTTTTGTAATGTCATTGTGTGCTTTGCAAGTGTAGGTATTTGCAGTCAGTGTCCCGACAGCTGCCGGCGACGTCGTACGGGCACAGGAGTGCGTTCGGATCCTCCTTCCAACTGAAAAGGAATTATGTAAGAAGAGTTAAGGGCGGTATCACTATTGTGGAATAGAATGCATACTTACATCGCTGCTCCGTTATACTGCGATGTTTGTACGCATATGCCATCCACTCCGTTTCCTAATTGTCTAATATGCCTAATGGAAGCAAATTATAGTTACATGATTAGATACTACTGGGTTATAGGTCTATTAATTGATTGACCTGTAGGACACGATTTTCATATACATAAATGGTATTCTCAGATATCTGTGAAATACAAAGAGCCACGGCATTGCGTATAGCAGACTTAGAACCCAGGTGTTAATCTTTTAGGATCATAAATTGACTTACTCTGATTGCGCCAGCGCTTCTAAGGGAGAGATATAATCTTTTGGTTCATCTTCGTCTTTTATTCTCCCTCCACCCTTTTCCGTTAAATTTTGCTTTTCATTACATACACTGGTGGATATGCCACTGTCCTGTATATCTACAGTTCTATCTTTATTAGGTGCTTTTTGCACCTTTATCACTTTTTTATTTCTAGTAATATCAACTTCCACAGACAATTTTGAATTATTTGTTGTTTCTTTTAAATCATTGACCACACTAACTTTAACAGACTTTAACATGTTTGGATTTTTGTGTTCTTTTATCAAGGGATCATTTTCTTTCTGTATCTTATTATTGACTTTATTGCTTTGATTATGTACAGGAAGATGGTTTGTAATGGAATGTTTGATGGTTGAGCTGAAATAAGAAATGTTTATTGAATATAGATAAAGACAGTTTAAGATGAAAGAAAACAGAAGCGATTTTGAACCTCTTCAACAACAACTGATGTTGCAATCGTATTTTTGTTAATCCATTCTGAACAGTTCTTTGTTGCTTCTTATTTAAAGTGACAGCAGTTGTAATATTTCTCAATTCATTTGCAACAATCTTATATCTCTGTGATAACTTATTTGCTTCCTCTTTTAGCTTTAACATTTTAGCTGACTCTTCTGCTATCATTTTTCTGAAAAACACAAATACCTCATAGATTATTCATAACATGTTTGCAATTTACTGGCTGGTAGCCTACCTGGAGCTGGCAATTTTTTCTTCTAGTTTATTTGGAGATATTTCGCTTGAAATATTTCTGGGTTTCAATGTTTCTTTCACACTTTTATTAAGGTTATTCAATGACAATTGTCTTGCTTGCTTTAATTTCTCTAATTCTGCCATCCTCTTCACCAAATTCTTATACTCAATTTGCTCCGATTTGGGCAAGTGTTTCATGGCCTGAAAGAAAATGTATATGATTGTAAACTGCCAGTAAGTTGAACATTTATTTTTAGAAATATATGCCTAACCTTTGGCACAAACTTCTGAGGCGGTTGAGTAGCAATTGGCTGCTTGACTACACCTGGTACAGTATCTTTTTCAACTTTCATTCGTGTTGATTTAAGGAATTGATCCAGTTTCTGTTGAAATTCTGTCTGTTCAGCTAACTTCATGTGCATTTTAGTTAAATTCTTAGTAGCCTCATGTTCTCCTTCTGAATCAGAATCACCTAGTTGTATAATGAACTTTTTCTCTGGAACATTTATTTTTGTAGTTATTCCCTTAACTGTCTCTTCCTTTGTATCTTTTGTATTAAGTGTACTTAAATCAACAAGGACTGGTAAATTTTTACTTAAGGAAGTTAATAGTTTTGCTCTCAATAGATCTTCATCTTCTTCAAGTTCATCATTAATGGCTTTAATTTCATGCTTTGTTTCTTTGACTTGATTATCGTCCAAATGATTTTCACATGTTACGGGGTTATCACAAATATCTTTTTCCTTTTCATCTATATCTGAACCAATATCCATATCAACATTCTCTACATCTGTGTTGTTGCCATTACTGTCACAAGTGTCCACAACATCATTGATTGAAATTGAATGCTGTGAAAGTCGTTTTTGTAATTTTTGCTTCTTTTTCATTTCCATTGCTTTTTTCAACAATGCAGACCTCAAACAAATAAGTCTTAATTCCTCAGTATCACTGTCTTCAATTTCCGAGTCTACTTTTTCTATGTTTTCTTTATTTGTATTCGGAATATCAGGCAGACTAAGGCATTGTTTGGAAGGTTTTGTATTTAGCGCTAATTGTCTCAGTGATTCCAAATCTTCATCTGAACTACCTCCTCTATCACATTTTGGTATTCTACTTTTAGCTAATCCATCAACCACATCACATGTTTCTTTATCAGACAATACTTTTACATCATCATCTGTAGATATGTTAGCACTTTGGATTTCACAATTTTCTATATTTTTGGTAGGTGAATTAACTTGTGTGTCTGTATGATCCTCCATTTTACATGGTACAGTGGTTGAACCAGACAATATTGTATTTTGAATAATATTTGAATCATTAGTTTTTTGTCGTGGATTTAACATTTTAGCTAATCTGTCCTTAAGTGAAGTGCTATCAACTTTTTTTGTAGTGAGAGTCACAGCATCAGCGAGTTTCTGGCGCTTCGTTTTATATTCCTCATCATTTGAATCTTCACTAGACTCACTATCTTGTTTTAAAGTTTGTGCTTTTTTGACACAGTATTTTTTCCTATTACTTATGGTTTTTACATCTAACTTTTCATTTTCCATACATCTTTTTGTTTTTTTTAGAAACTTGTCATTTTTTACTATTCTGTATATTTGAGATCTACCCTTTTCATGCTCCAAAGAAATATCTGGGCACAAAGTTGTAGTTTTTTTGGTCATACCTAAAATGTGTATTATGGGCAAATAAAGATATGTAATTACATCACATTACAATAGAATAAAACATAGCATAAATTATTAACTCGAAAACGATAAGAAATAGATATCAAACTAACCTGATCCATTACAACTTCGTTTAGCTTCTTTACGCTCAAGGACATTATTATAATTCTCGAGGATTTCTAATCGCTTTCTCAGCAAGAACTCTTCCTCCGATGAAATATCCGACAAATCATCCAGCTCATCTACAATCTCTCCTTCTTCTCGTTCAGAGTCCATATTACTCTGTGCTGGCATTGCTAAGGAGTACTTATATTGTGAGCGACAAACAATACCTTTCTCTTTTGAATCCAAGCCTTTAATGGCATAAGATAACAATTAATAAAAGGAACTAAAGTAAATTGATTTCTAAGTATATTCTTAAACCAATTACTTGACCATATGGGTAAATTTTATTCACAAGTACGTTTCTGACAAGGATCACAATGTGAAACACACAATTTGCCGTTTTCCTTCCAATTGTTAATACAACTTACAAGACAGTTATGTCAGAAGACTGAAAGACGTCACAGCTAAAAAGATACAGATAAATAATGCCAAAGACGGCATTATTTATCTGTATAAGAAGTTAAGCTAAAAAGATACAGTTATCTGTATCTTTTTAGCTTAACTTCTTTTTCATGTTATCTATGTATTCAATAAAAATTATAGTTTTGTTAGTTCTACAGATATTACAGATTCGCAAATTAAGTCCAACATCTGTTGACAGTTGCTGTCAACTGTCAATTATAAAGAATGTTTATTAATATTTTTGCATTGTAAAATGTAAACAAATGTCTTCATCATAAGAAAAATCTCACTTAAGAAATAATTAATTATAGGATATGTCTATCTGGCAAACTAATTAGATTATAGAATATTTTTATAACAAATAAATATAACAATATTCAAAGTACGTTTTGTTTTATCTGAAATGCTGTAACGCCCCTTAGTACTCTACTTTTATTTATACCGTGGCATTTTTAGCTATGGACGACGATGAGAATTATAAATTTGCTGCTTGCACTTACTTCGCGAAGAATCACCCAGGCGAAACTTGTGGTAGCAATGGTCTGCCACTTACTCCAAGTTCCGTTACGATATTGGGTCGTGCACAGCGTTTGTTAACTATCGAACATAAAAATCTATGCACCTATCTGGACATTATTCGAGGAAAACATGGTAAAATATTACCTTAGTACATATATTTAAGTATCATTCATTCTTCAAGGATATGTTGTATATTTACAATGGGAATTTGTTTTATAAGCTACAATGCTCCAAGCACTAAAAGTGAGTTTTGTATTACAAAAATGAATAAAGCCCTAAAACGTCGAAAAAAACGAAATTAAAATATGCCTGGTGTAAAACAGCAATTGGTCGTTTGAAATTTAATTAAGTGAGTGACCAAATTCAATACTAATTATTGGCAAAAAACTCCCATCCATTCCTCACACTTGCATCTGCAGACCTCAAAAACCATAAAGTTTATATTTGGGGAAATGTATTATGCACCCCTCCACCAGGGCTATCAATTATTGGTGTGGGGAATGAATAAAGTTTCTAAGATCTACATTAACAAAGGCAACTATCAGATCAACACTTAATTTTTCAGAAAGGATAATAGTTGTAGCTGAGGTAATTGGAAAATCATTATCGGAACACACATCAAGATTTTCACAGCAAGAAGTAATTAGCATTGGTGTACAGGTCGCCAATGCAATGACCTTTCTTCACGATCAGAATATAACACATCGAACTATCTCAGATGATAACATTCTAATTGATAACTGTGGGAGAGTTAAACTATTCAATTATGGAATGTATTATATGACTGATGGTGGTAAAGAGGTGCAGTTTCCTCTTGGGTATGTTGGTCTATAACTAGCTAATATATACAATATTAACTAGCTGGCAATATTTACAATTGATAGTAATAAGCCCCCTAAATTTTTTTTAAACTAATTTCTTGATACACTTTTTTATGGAAACTTGTAAAAATATTGAGTAACTTTTTTTGTATTTCGTTTTGTTTTATAATTGTAGGAAAAGTTACTCAGTGAAATGATTATACTTATTTGTTAATTAAAATCTCTCTAATCATTATTTTTAATTCCAGGCTTTTTGTCAAAATAATTGTTTTTTTTTTTCAGAATTCCACGCTACCTTAGTCCTGAAGCCATCTTAAATGGTGGTGGACCATCAGCAGATGTCTGGAGCTTCGGTATAATTCTATTAGAGCTATGCATAGGCAAACTATGGAGTAACTTGAAACCAGGACCAATCCTTCGGAGGATACTCACTCTAGTTCATGCTAATAACCCTGCAGAGAGAATAGCTAGGGAACATGATTGTTATGATACATATAAGGTAATATTCATTTATTTATTGCAACCAAAAGATTTTTTAAATCTTATTCGTTTTTTTTTTACTTATTATATATATTTTAAATATATAATAACATACTTTTCAGGCCTTACCCGATAATTTGAGAGAGATAATAGAAAAGTGCTTAAAAATATACCCCAGTGAAAGAGCTACTTTTCTTGAACTGCTCGAAGACCTGAAAAAAATAAATGACCAAAAACCCATAGATTTGAAGAAAGCGAGGGGTCTGTTGGGTTGTAAATTGCAATATTTGTATTATTGGTGGCAGTTGGCGGGTGGTGATATTATTTCTGAATTAAAACGGAATGGTCTCATTAAAAACAGTCCCCCTATTTTGTCTATGCCTATGTAAGTTACTAGACGTTGTGTAGTTTTTATTTCAAATTAATATTTAGTAGTATTCACCAATTTGATAGCTTATCAACAGTCGAAATATTTTCAGGCGAGCTTCTGAATCTTTTCAAATAGATCTTTAATTTGTATATGTAAAAAAATAGTTTTCATAAACTTCCGTAGAAAATTGTAGAGTCCGTGTCTTGTATAGTCATAGATAGCCATCTAATTGTATAAAATATAGCTTTAAATTAAGTTTTTTCTAGTGCCATCCTTCTTGACGGATGTACACTAGGTGGTAAGAAGAACGCCCTATTTGACAGAAGAATTGCAAAATACAGTTTGAAGATTTTAAAGAACCGCTTAGCTCACATTTCTCCCCACGACTTCTACCCCCTGATGCACGAGAGAAGAAAAGAATGTGATGCTGTCACTCTACCGAAGATCATTCGGGAGAGAGATACTGAATATCAGTTTCACAGATTACTCTGGTTTCAGAGACTTCTTCATGTAAGTAATTAACAGAACATAATATATATAATATTAAGTGACACCGATGGAAATATATTTATAAATCTATAATAATGTTTAATACATTTTGTATTTTCACATACTTAAGAAACACACATAATTAAAAAAAATGAAATCACGTTTATCCCTCTGGGGGTTACGACGAGCACACCTCTGTGTTCGTAAAACTAGCCTTTATTTTACCTGTAAATGGCAAGTAGAGTATCAGACCGTTTCCCCGGTATTCAAAACCACCCAGAGGCGGCCAAAATAAAACGATATTTTTTTAAAGAAAGGCTGAAAAAATATGACATGGGCGATGCTATGCAAAAATCTAATTCTTTGATCTCTCAAATGGAACTCGAACTGTGCAATGTATAAATTTCCAATCTTCTTAATAAAGAGATTACTTTGTATCTATCGGCTAGGGCTATCCTTACACAGCTCAGTACATAAGAGCACAAGCGGAGATCGACATTCCGCCCATGGTACGTGGAGACGTATGGGCCGCTCTTCTCGGCGTGGTCGGTGATATCGAAGACCAGTACGAGAGGATAGATAAGGAGACGCCTACACCCACGGATAGACAGGTATTAATAAGCAAACAAACAAGACTATACATTTAACCTTTAATAATGATTATTAGTTTCAACGCCAGACCACAGATGGCGCTAGCGTAGCAGATTTGACTTTGACGTTAGGGACGCTCTCAGTCTATTCCTTCCGTATCCACCACTGCCGCAAAGCATCCGAAGGGTCAGGTCAAATTTATAATAAGTTAATATAACGTATTTAAACTGTTAAATGTATTTCAAGTGTAATTAATGAAATTGGTGCGTTTTAATATATTTACTATGATTGGCATAGTTCATTAAAACATAGTTAATATATAAAACAACCGTCTGTATATTATACAAGCAGATATGCTTGTAATTAGCTTGAATTAAGTAATTAAAACTCAGCTACCAGTATTACTGAGCTGGTTTTAATTGAGTTTTTACTTGTTAGTAAAACACCAAGCCAATCATTTGCATTACTTTCTTCTTTTGTGCAAGTCCCTTGCTAATATGATGTTTCAATCGTTTCGTTCTCTTTAGATTGACGTAGACATACCCCGCTGCCATCAATACTGCTGGTTGTTGTGTGGCCGGGCCGGGCATCGAACCCTGAAGAGACTTCTCAAAGCGTGGCTATTGACCAATCCACAATATGTATATTGGCAAGGGTTGGACTCGCTGACTGCGCCATTTTTGTATCTAAATTTTTGTAATGAAGGTAAGTCAATTATCAAAATTTAACGGTTTTATACTACGAAGTCTAATTGAGATAAAGTAGGAGAGACAAGCGTGAAGCCCACTTGTTGAAAGTTGAAATACTATATAATTTTTCATTTTTTTCCTGCCACCAAGGTTTACCACCATATATTTAAAAAAAATTTAGAGACATGTTGAACCACGCGGGAATCAAACCCACGACACATTGATTTCATTAGCTAAGACAATTATAACTTTAAGAGTAAATTTGTTTCATATGAGCTAATTTTTTCCTTAATTACAGCGCGGGCTTTCGCCTGCCTCTCCGCGTTCGTCCCCAAATTCCTTCACAAGTTCTTCCTCAAGGACAACAGTGCTGTGATCAAGGAGTACTTGGCGAAGTTCTGGCAGATGAGCACGTTCCACGAGCCCGAATTGGCTGCGCATCTCCACGAAATCAATTTTGTCCCGGAGCTCTTTGCAATACCCTGGTTCTTGACTATGTTTTCGCGTGAGTATAACCACAAAAATAACCGACATAGCTGTATATATATACAAGAATTTATGTTGAATGTTTAACGCTATGATTTATTTACTTAAAAAATAAAATTACTACACATTTTATGACAATTTTGCTTTGAAGCATTATTATAAAATATAACACAATCCTAAACGCGACTTAAACGCGATATATATTAGCTAACTTATTTTAAAACCGATATTTCTTATACGTCGTGTGTAGTCGTAGTTAAAACTAGGTTTACTGATATATGTGGCGTTTTAAACCGTTGAAATTGTTTTACTTAAATGTGCGCTCGCAAACTACAGACTTCCTGTATAAGTTTTGTCACTTTTAGTAAGATAATTCATATTTTTATGCTGTCGAAGCTTACAAATATTATATGATACACAGATGTCTTCCCACTGCATAAAATAGTCCACTTGTGGGACGCATTGCTGGTCGAAGGTCCCCAACTCCCCCTGTTCATGGGTGTGGGAATATTGCGACAGCTGCGAGAAACACTCCTCGATTCTGGCTTCAACGAATGTATACTATTATTTTCTGATCTTCCTGAGATAGATATTGGAGAGTGTGTTAAGGTAAGTTGGAAATGTACGGTCTCTTTGTGTGTCTGTTTATGCGACACCTAAATGTATGATTATATCATTATCACTCAATTGGCAATAGCACAGAACGTTCCGGGTTTGACTCCTTATAGTTATTTTAATACAAAATAGATTTCCATTTATACGCTATCTATACTAATATAAAGCTAAATAATTCGTTTGTTTGTTTGAATGTGCTAATTTAGAATAGCGCTAGTTGATAAGAGACATAGATATATGTGGAGAAAACGGGGAAAATTATTCATCTCTGGGGGGGAAGTCGCCGGTGCAGCTAGTGCATTAAATTATGCAAAAAATAGAATACATACATGTCTTTGATTGTTCTTTACTAACTAGCGATTTTAAGCTATCACATTATACTTCTAGAAAATCGAACTTCTTTAAGTGTCATTCTGATCCTGTTTATTCTATTTGTTTCCTTATGTTATTTTTATATTTATTTAATGAATAGCGAAATACAAAACTTACAAAATTTATTTAAGAATTTTTTTATAAATACCTTGACGGACAGAGCTGCGCGCAAAACATATGCCGATTGACTTTCTAACTTTCTGTAAATATCGATTCACTAAAAATCTAGATCATCGATCGTGATAAGTTTTTATTGCGCGTGATTCAAAAGATTAATTTTAAGCATTACATGGGTATATGAAACACTTTGGTTATCATGATTATTTATTAGTATCGACGTAAATTGTAAATTTGGTTCTTTAAATATACCATAACCTTCGGTCGAAAAAAAAAGTTGTCTACCCCAAATTTGAACCTGGGAAAACTTGTTTAAAGCAATGTTAGGCACAATCATACAATTTACATACGTTAGTACGATTTCTAACACTTATGTTGACACATAAACTCATTTATTGTTTTTAAATTGTATTGTATGTATAGTGTTGGTGTACAAAATAAATAAATAAAAAAACATTAGATCGTCAAAAGTAACAATCATTTAAAATGTTTTTTTTTGCAGCGGCGTTAATTACAAATGATCCAATTAATTTACTGTAACCGCTAACAAAACAATTTAAATTTTATTTATTTAAATTTAGATGCTTAGTCATAAAATTCGCAATTTGCCCAACCGTATATGTGAGCGCTTAATTAAAGATAAAACTGCCTTGTAATTGTTTTCATAGACCTAATTTATATACGCGAAGTAACATTGAAGTCAGGGAAAGCGGAAAAGTATCATAGGCCAAAGTGCTTCATTAAAAATCATTGGAATTTTTTAGTCATCTAAAATAGCGCTTGTGAAGGTCATCACACTTCGGCTATGGTCAGATATTTCAGTCAATAACCTCGCTTGGCAATAAGGCTCTTACATTTTATTCCTAACGAAGTCAATGAACCATTTACGAGGCGTCTAGTTTGGTGTTCAGTCGTTACGTATCGTAAAATTGTATTTGAATTTGTAAATACATGTTGAAGTGTGAAAATCTTACTTAAATGTTGCTGTGAGAATTTGAAATATGCCCTTCTAAAATATGTTTGTATTTGATGAAGCATTAGACTGCTTTTCAATAAATCACGGTGTCTTCCCGTGACCACGCTTTCTGCAAAGCATCCGAAATGTCGGACCGTAGTTAAAATATTTTTCAGATAAGTTTAACTAAGTAATATATATCGCATTTTAAACCGTAGTGTGTTTAATTTAAATGTGTACTACTCGCGTAAACTGCAGACAGTGTAAGACTGCTTAGATCATACATTTTCCTTAAGCTTACTACGGAAATAACTATATATATATATATATATATACTAATATTATATTGATGAAGAGTTTATTTGAACTCGCTAATCTCAGGAACTAGCATTTTTAATTTAATTTATTTTATTTTGGGTAGAGATATCGAAGAGGCTTTAGGTAATAAAACATCGTACTTCAACCAACAGGAACGAAGTTATTTAATCTATATACATTTTTATAGAATTTTTTCCAAAAACATACTAAGCCTAAGTTTTAAACTTATTTAATGGTTGTCCTGTTTTATGCTCAGGAGTCAATCGAAATGAGTCGCAGTACACCGCGCAGTATCAGCTATCGAAGATTCACAAACGAGCCAGAAATCAAAGATCCCATGGTGAGTAACAAAAACATCAATATAACTCTATATTCTAAAAAAAGCTTAAATGATAGCATTATTTTCCTATGTAACTTATGGCGTGAATTTGACAACCGCCATTTTTACATATATAGTTTAATTTATAAGACTTTTTGGGCGTCCATTTGTGTAAAAAGAGATATCTCCCTTGAGGCGTGGAGCGAACACGTTTCTGAGTCCATTGCGTTGATAGGTTTTATTTAGACTAGCTCGACCGATTCAATATATTCTTAATACAATACTAGGCAACAGGTATAACTATAAAATGATGAAAATAAATTAAATCACAAAGACCTTCTTAATAAAAAATGGAAGTGAAACAAAATATGTTTATTAAGAAACACAATATTTACGAGTTAAATACAAATTTATATATATTTTTATTCTATATACCAATATAGTGCCTCTGAAAAGGAAGCCACTCAGCAACGTTGGGACTAATGTCCCAACAGTGGTATTATGTGGGCCTTAATGAACTTTTATTGTGTGTAACAGTATTAGACCAGTTTAAAACATTGTTTTATTTAAATGTTCTTCTCAAGACACAATTAAAAAACAGGAAACCTATTGCGGTGGTCTAATCAACCACCTGCGCTTTGCTGATACTGCTATAATTCATTTTACCTATTCTTATTTATGCCATTTTTTATGCTAGACTCATGTAAATTCAATCAATATGTATATGTTGTAGGTAAACTGTAAACTTCGGTATTACGAAATAGAGCGCGGAGAAAATAACAATTGTAAAATCTATTAAAATATTAATAAAGCATACAAGATAAATTATCTCAGAAATCAAATTTAAAGCTATTTAGTTATTCGTTTTTATGAATATGTACATATTGTTTTAATTTACAATTTCTCACTTTTAAATAAAACACTTTAACGGTTTAAAACGCGATATATTAGTTAAACTTATTAGAAAATGATTTTTAACTTCGGCCTGACGTTTCGAATGCTTTGCAGCAGCGTGGTCACGGGGAGACAAAGCATTCGAATCGTCGGGCCGAAGTTAAAAATCATTTTCAAATAAGTTTAAGTAATACATCGCGTTTTAAACCGTTAAAGTGTTTTATTTAAATATGTACTACTCGCGTAAACTATATACTTAGTTTCTCACTTGGTGAAAAAAAAAAATCGACACGGACGGGACTTCAACCGGCATCCACAGAGTTCCGTGCTGCTGCTCTAACCAATTGAGCAGGCACTGTGGCTCAATTAGTTTGAGCAGCGAATTTGCAAAAAAATATGTTTGGCATTAATAGCACGTGCTTAGTTTTTTTTTTTTTGTAATTTTTGTTTACATCGAAGTTCTTGTAGTAAATAATCTATGTGATCATGGAATACATGCAAAAGAACTATTGCTTTTTAGTGGGGTTGCTATAATTTCTGTGACCCAAGCATTTATAGTTTGCCAATATCAATAATAATCAATGTGTTTGTCGAGAAAAAGTAGAAATATTTTTAGTAAACATTTTATGTTGGTTCCTAATTATTGCAATTAAAATGTGGTGCCTTCATATAAAATCCTTTCCCCTGGTAAGTGCAAAGAATTGTTCCCGGGCACCACAAAGCGAACGTCAGTGAATAAAAATTTCTCGTTGACTGCAACCGTGGCTAATGACATTCCATATTGCTTTACGATGAGCATAAAATAAGGCAATAACAATAAATTAAATAATATTACCGTTGCGTTAATTGCACTGGTTTCCTTGTAGCTAATTATCAAATATGCTATTTTAGTCTTTTTGGCTTAGTGGTCGTTTATGACACTAATCGTTTGGTTAATTGATAGTAATTTTTAGTTGAAATACTCTTGACAAGTTGTGCTGTCGACTTATTATGGTTTGAATATTTGGAACTAACTTTGATACTGAAACGATGGTGGGTTCGTTGCTAATTCATAATAATATAAAGCTGAGCGCTCAGAATTCAATGAATTCGAAAATATATAAAAAATGTGGTGAAAACGGAGAAAATCATTCACTTCCGAGTGATTCCAAAAAATATGTACAAAAGAAATGTTTCCCTCTCAATAATATTAAAATAATGTCCGCGATACTATACGTCTATCTTTTAAGACTTGCAACTAGCGTTTTTATGGGAATCATATTTGGTCGAAATTAATGCATTATTAACCAATTAGTTTTTAAAAGTTTGCCAGATCTGCCGGTCAATGTTGAATGTTTTTTAAACATGTGGCACTTCTGAATATCTGAAATTGCTTAATTCCAGTTATTAAAAAAAAATTGCGTCTAAATAGTACCTCATTTCAGGATGCAGTGGAGGTTCCAATGGAGACCTTGCTAGCGGAAATCTGCCCCAGAATCAGCCTCACGGATTTCTTTTCGCTGACATGCCAAGATAAGTGCTGCGTTGTCGACATACGTTCTAATTTGCTGTAAGTAATATACTATACTCTGTAGTTTACGCGAGTAGTGCACATTTTAATAAAACACTTTAACGGATTAAAACGCGATATATTAGTTAAACTTGTTTAATAATTATTTTAACTACGGCCCGTCGTTTTGGATTCCCCGTCCCCCGTTCACGGTCCCCGTTACCATATGCTTTGCATCATCAGAATATGATATATATTCGTTTCAAACTGTTAAAGTGTTTTATTTAAATACGTAATATTGGTAAAACCGCAGACTGAAACGGCTTTTTCCATCTTGGGGCGGTCCGTGATAACGGAATTTCGATATTCCTACCACTAATTTAATATTCAGATTTCCAGAATTACAGTTACAGAAATAAAATATAAATTGATTAGAAATGTGTTGGACCCGGTGAGAATCGCACCCACGATCCGTTAGTTATTAGCCATACATTACTACCATTAGACTAACGAGAAGCCACAGAATATCAGTGTTGGGACATTAGTCCCAACTTAGCTGAGTGGACTCCTTTTCAGAGACAACTGGAGTTTTTAATATATTTTATTAGTAACTCAATACTTTATTTGTAAATCTTCTTATATTATGTTGTTTCTAAATAAACTTATTTCTATTCTCTTTTATTATTTGAAAAGGTACGAGAAGAGTTGTATAGAAGGCAGTATAAACGTGCCATACAGCGGCGTCCACTTGGGACAGCATGAGCTCAGATCGCTCGGTCTCCATCCATACAAAGTCCTGAATGAAGCCCTTACCCACAAGAAGACAATTGTTGTCGCCTCCGCTGAAGACGAAACGGCGCAATTGGTAAGTGTGCCTTAATGAATTTCCCAGCTTACTTCTGTGTGAAAAATGAGGCCGCCAAAGGCAGAGTAGTAAGTTGTAGTATAAAAATAAATACTATATAATTTTAATAGGTATATTTTTAAATAACTGGCACGCGATTCCTATTCCCAAATTAAAATAAACTGCGAAATTTTCCATTCAGTTTAGGAGATTAGTAAATGTATACATACAAACCCCTTAAAAGCGTATTTACTTATTTTATATTAATGTTAACTACTGCCCTACGTGTCGTTTTAACCGTTAAGTATTGTATTTTAATGTGTATGTCCTACTCGTGTAAATTACAGATGATATTTAACAGTACATACAAAGAAATAAGGTCTAACTAATGTCTGTCGTATATTTTTATAATGTATAAACAAACTTTGTTTTTGGTTCTTTATATAGTTTTGTTATTCTTACCTTAAATTTTACCTATTTGTTACAGTTTAGTGAGTACCTAGTAAAATGCAAGGTACCAAGAGTGTGCATTCTACACGGCGGGATATCAGCTTTGAACACCCATATACCGTCTCTATTTACAGTGCCAACCAAACGGAACGGCCACAAATAAATGCCCGTCTCTGTAGATCAAGTTTTGTTCCAGAGTTAGATTTGATTCTAGATAACATAATATAGCTATATACAGTTACAAACATTGTGAAGACGTTAATAAAAAAAAATAAACTTGGAATAACGTGAAAGGATCTTAAAAAGACTTCTACTTAATCACGCTAGTTAAGTCATATTAATTTTATCATTGTCTTTCGGGCTCCTCCGAACCTGGTGAGAGAGAACCTCTTCTCGCTCACGTCGGCCGAACAGCCCTAAAGACAATAAGCTGAACGATGGCCGTGAAAGGCTTACACAATGTATTAATATTAAGTTTGTTGAAGTATAAATGTGTATTTACAGTTTTATTACCTAAATAAATATACCCTCTTTATTTATTATCATGATAGTAATGTATACGGAATTATAAAATAAAACATTCCTATTAAAAAAAATAGTTTTATTGAAATCACAAAAACATCGCACCGGCTATCAATCGACGGTGTCCAAAGCAAATATTTTCATACGAATCCAGCATGGGCATCCCCGTGTCCTACGCTACGTTTTTACCCCCCAGCGTTATGAATGAGCGAGGGGGGGAAGATGTAGTTGAGCGCGCCATTCGAGAGTCGACCGTCGGTGTGATTGCACGTCCGCGCCACTCCGCACTACGCTCGCGATAAGTGAAATTCTCATAAACACAACTGGAAACAAATTCCCGACAGTGCAGCGTAAACTAGTGTTTAGTTTTAGTTGATATACAGTCGGAAACGTGACAGTTAAGTTGTTGTGCCTGACGAAGGTATTCTGTGGAGTGCTTGTCGGAGGCCGCGAGGAAATCTGGCCCCGACATGGAAAGCTGCTACTTCGATATCTCGAACGACCTAAAGGATGTCTGGGATGCGGACATCGACCCGGTGAGTACGACCTTGCTATCGCATCTTATCGGAGGTGAATCTTATTTGAACGCGTAAGACGACCTCTAACGATAAATAAACATTTCTCTCGAAATTAAAATAGATTCATTTAACCGATTAAAACCGGTTCTTTTCGGTCTCAGGAAGCATGGGATGTTCGGGTCTGGGACGAAACAACTTGCAATGGCATATCTTTAATCGGGTTTTTTGAATAGACCTATAATTAAAATACGATATTTAACAATTATTAACATCGCTTTCATTATTACTATACGAGTACATCTCAAAATGAACTAAGTTAAAGATTTGGTGCAAAAATTCGCGTTAGAAATCCTCTACCCGCGTTTTCAAAGTTTGGTAAACATTAACGGAAATTTTCAATACATTTGATAAGTGCTCGGACCAACTAATAATCTACCGAATCAATTAAATTAGCATTTAATTCATGTCATATAATTGAGTCTACATTGTTTCTTTTTCAATATTGAAGATATTGTGAAAGTCGTACGGTCCTACAAATTAATATGAGCGAGTATGAGGGCTGGATAGGTATTTAAGTAAAATAAAAAAATCTAACGCTTGGAACTTCTACATGTTTTACATAATAAAACAATCAACGGTTTGTATCAAATTTATCGATAAGCATACAATTTGATATATATGTAGGTTTACATATCTTATCATTCCGACTTTGATCAGCATTTAGTGATTAGCAATTTGAAAGTTGTAAATAGTGTTCGAAATAACCGAACCTATTTATTATTTTCTTTTATTGTATGTGAAAGTCTGTTACGCTTTCACTGTCAAATCACTTGACAGATTTCAATGAAACTTTAGGGTGGTGGTGATCTCATACAAAACTATACCTATAAGTTATACTTATAAGGCTGCTAAAGGCAGAGTGGCTTAATAACAAAATATAAAAAACTCAAGTCATAAAATTGCAGTTAGGCTACTCTGTCTCTAGCGGCTTCATACCTATATACCAACCTAACTGAGATTCGTGGTGAGAAATAAGTAAAAAATAATAATAATTAAAAAAAACTTGACGTCTTAACATTAAGTAATTATTGCGTAAGTTAGTAAGTTTTTTTCCAACATAAGTATCAAATTTAAAAACCTATTAGGTAATTTCTAAATTGCCTTTTACCAAAACATGTTAGATACAACATTTTTTGTAATCGATTAGAAGTGAACGCTTTGTAATTATATTTCTTTAAATAATGTGGTATAAACTTGATTAAAAAAATTGTTACTCCTCATTTTCTATTCTTATTTTCTTTAGTAATTCTATGTAACAGGGAGATATTAAGATGGATCGCTCAAATAGGACTATCAATAATAAAAATTCTTCACTCTCGGATCCGTAACAACCGGTTATCTATAAGTGTGAATGGTATACACACAGGCTCCGAATAGTTCGTTTAATTTTACTTATATCACAAAGATGTGTATATTACGCATTGTGATTTAGATGCGATAAGACAAATTAATAAAAATTATATTTCAGTTAAAAGTTAAGGAAGTGTTTTTTATGTTATAACTAACTGTGCCCGCGACTTCGTACGAGTGAATTAGTTATTTATTAGTTATAATTCCCAATTACTTACTTTATAAATTATACCTGTTAGCCACGATGTCATCCGCGTCATGTCGTTCTTGCTGACAAAATAAACATACTGTCGTGGACAATTTGAATCATTTAAAGAGGAATTATTCTTTCATACATATTTTTTGGGTAGGTATCTTGAACCGTTTTCGCACCGCACGTAAGGGAAGCCCTTATAGATGAATAACTTTTCTCGTTTTTAGCAACGTGTTCCACTGTTTCTTCGCCGAACAAACTCGTTAGCATTATATATTATATATTAGTGCAAAATATATTTCATTTATATTTATTGCACGGTGCTGTTAGTAGTACAATATTATATCATCGATAGTAATATTTACCTACATTAATATTGTAAGGGATAAAACAATTCATATTTCTTGCCTAAACTGAAAATTATGTTGTCGTTTTTGTTTTCTTTTTGTGATCACTCAGCAAATTCTGTTAAAACTCAACATTCTTTTAATATTGCCATTTAAAATGTTCGTTTAGAAATTGCCTGCATCAACAGTTGAGTAGTTCAGAGAACTCAATAGTCCTCATAGAGACACCTCTTAAGATGTCCGAAATTTTGGGAAGAGGTCATTGAGACCGCTATTAGGGAACACCTGTAACTGGTTTTGCGCTATGCGATGACGTCACGCCGCTATAACCCACCCACACAACGTGGTAGCCCGCGAAAAGAGATCTCTCGTCTGCATAAAACATTTCGTTTGGTCAGATTACGTTCTTATGGTACGAACGGTACACCGTGGTGCGACGACCTGGTGCGTTGAACCAAGAGCCTCGTGTGGATTTATTAAATGGACATGGCAACTGTGTTTACAGTGTGTAACAACTGTGGAAGCCTTAGTACAATTCGCTCAACAAATTGCTTTCCTTAGGGGGAACTAGCTGATACTTCTAGGATGATAGCCTATTGCTGCATAAAAAATATTGATGCGTTATCAATGTTCACACTTATATTATAAGTCTAACGGGTAAAAACTAAGACATAAATAGACCACTTGCTGCATTGCTAGATATTGGAAAACGGCGATTATAAGGAAATTTTTATTTTTTTGAAGTGTCTTAAATGTATGTTATCAATGACGTGTTTATGTTATTTATAATCAACATACTCTCATTCAAATTTAATTAATAATACTAATATTATTAAGTAATTAGTCAAAATTTGTTTTATCATGATATACGTCGAAAAGAGACTCTAATAAATGCGATATTAAATACTGTCTATAGTTTACGCGAGTAGTACACATTTAAATAAAACACTTTAACGGTTTAAAACGCGATATGTTAGTAACAAATATATCGCGTTTTAAACCGTTAAAGTGTTTTATTTAAATGCGACATTTCTTAAACATCATACTGTATACGGCATATACAATCTCAGTGCGTAACAAGCGCTCACTTAATATTTATATCGTGTTTTTTGTTCCAGCAGTATTAATTATGTATGCTTTTTAGTTTTTCATCTAAATTTACTCCACAGCATAAGCACTATCTAAAGTCAGTTTAATTGTGCTAAAAAGCTTCAATTCACGATCTCATTTAACAAGATTAAACCCATTTAGCGTTCTTAGCACTCCGGGAATTAGGTAGCGAACATAGCAATAATACTTAAGATTAATTATACTTCCGAGATTTCCTACGTTTGAGCATTTCCTAGTTATAACCCTAAGAATAACTGAACCATTCTCTATATTGGCAGCGTAACGGCATTGTAATTGAATTTCCTTTTCGAGTTCCACTCTGCTGCTTTACTTAATATCTGAATGTTTATCTTTTATATAACATTGAACTGACTCTTTATAAGGTGAACTTGATAGAGATTATTTAATATATCTAATAAAAATGTTTCTACTAGATATATAATTGCTGCAAAGCATCCGAATTGTCGTGCCGTAGTTTAAATAATTTTCAAATAAGTTTAACTAATATATACCGCGTTTAAACCGTTAAACTGTTTTATTTAAAACGCTGCCATTCTACAAAATCTTCAGACTTATTGATGGTTTAGTATTTCACTGAGTTTAGCTTACCCATAGACCAGGCAAGTTGTGTTAAAATATTATTTAACGGTGTAAAGGTTTTTGTTTTATATTATGTATCCGACGTTATCTTAGCTAGTGTTAGAAAGTTATAAAGCCAGGTAAACCTTTGTCGAACTCACAATGAGATCCATATCACGATTTTGTTTGTTACACCAAACAATGAGTTTATTACATAAGTACAATAAATATAATCGACGCTTGCGTCATTCACGATGTATCGAATGGTCTCATTTCAAAAACAAGATGTTCAATGTTGACACAAGTGTACCAAGACATTGTTGCCGAATGGTACCTCATACTAATAAATTATTGACACCTATAAGTGCTTATCGCCATGTCCACTTGATTATGAAATCCGGGATTATTCGTTCCACACCACGAATTGTTTACATAACATTAACAGTTTCATAGCAATTAGTATTTGTGAAATTGCTCTGTACTTATTTTAATTTGTATACTGGCAACACTACATTTTATTTAAAAAAAGCGGTATACTAGAAAAAATCGTCTATTGGTAAACTATCTTGTAGTTTTTCTTTACAATAGTAATGTAATAGGCAACCTTTATTTGAAGTCAAGGCATGGATTTCTCACAGTAATAAAATCACGGATGTCGGCCGCCGTAGGCAAAGGGCGGTTAAACCACATATTTTTCCTACCAGTCATTTCCACAGATAAGTAAACGACATAATTTGAGCTGACATTTAGACGAATAGAACTATTGATCTTTAAATATTGACCTTAGAAATCGTAAGCAATGCCCATTAAATCAACTGACATTTTAGGAATACAGATAATGAATAATGTAACCAGAGCAAGTTTCTTTTTTGAGAGTTGCAACCCTGACTCTTCGGTTTCACGTGAAAGGCGCGGGAACGTCGGTGTTGCTACTTTGCATTCCTCTCGTCGCCGGCGCACCACGAATTTAGAGAGCCGCATGTACTGAGGATAATTGTCATTCTTCATTAGCACTGTCTAGCGGCACATTTTTCTCGACACGGTTAATGACACATCGCATACCTATTTGGGCTACACCCTAACTGTTCTTAGAAGGCGCCTTTTGTCATAAGTACAAATAAAGTAGTTTTAGACATTTCAGTGTCTGTTTCGCTGACGATTTAATTGATCAGACTTTTGTGCAGCCGAAGTTATAGTTTCCATTTTTTTCTAAAGTCCACACAGCAATCGTAAATAATATCATTCGTTATTGTCGTTGTTATCGTAATAGTTAAAATATTTTAATTGTAAAATATATTATCATGTATATAAGTTAACGTGTTACCAACAAATTTCAAATTAATCGCACTTACCTTCCACCTCATGTATAATTTGCTTGATAATTGAAAAATTGTTTTGAGAAAACCTCACTTAAATTTAACCGCAAGCTTAGTCTTACCACTTATTGTACAAATTGGGATTCTGTGATGGGATTTCATACTGTTTTGTAATGTTTTCTCATTTAATATTAATTTTGTACAACAAAATAGTTAATTTACTTGTATTGTTTTTTTTTATATCAAAATGTAAACAATAAGTTAAATAATTAAAATTTGAAATATATTTAATTTACTATTTATATTTAATTATCACTTCCTGTGACTTTCCACATTCTCTCATACATCGGAGGTTTAGGGGCTTGGAGTAAATCTACGTATATATTTCACTTTTTTTAACCGTTAAGGAGTTTTATTTGATGTTTGATCCTTACTAATATTATAAATGCGAAAGTAATTCTGTCTGTCTGTCTGTTACTCTTTCACGCCAAAATTACTGAACAATAAACTATTGCGAAAAGGGTGTGGTAAGGGGTTAAAAGGGGTATGAAAGTTTGTATGGAAATTCGTGGTTTTTGAGGCTAGAACAATGAAACTTTCTTCTTTGGCTTTTTGAAAATAGGAGTGGGAGTGGGAGTAGGGGTGGGCGTGGGAGTGAGTATTGGATGAGAGTGGGAGTTCGCGTAGGAATGATGGGGGTGTTTTTACCATAAATTCGCTGTCTTAAATGCGCCCTTGCATAATTTAATAAACAGCCTCAATAATTCTGCCGCAATTCACTATTTCACGCGGACCAAGTCGCGGGCACAGCTAGTAGATAATAATATATGTGTTACCTTATTACAATCCTTACTCTGGAATGTTTGTCTCACGCCAACGTCCCCATACGTGTGATAATAGTCTAATGAGACTTTTTACCAACTTAAATCGATCACGATATCACGTTCAGGTATGTATTTAATTATATCGAGATATCGGTTCATTTAACGTTAATAATTTTCCACGCCATTGCACTCTTTTCTATACATTTTACTTGCGAAATACTATTGTCTACGCGAATGACGGAATTTCTAAACAATTGTTTATAATAAACTGTTACATTCTGCTTTTCACAGATATCTTCTAATAACAGTTAGTTTGTCTGACATTAATTTCACAGGGAAACACTACGCGATACTCCTGAAGACAGATTAAAAAAAAATATAGAGTCTGTAGATATGTTGTCAATAAGACTATATCTACAGACTATAGTGTTACTGCATTTCAATATTATTGTGTGAGGATAAATAATTATTTGTGATCTTAAAGGAAGTCTTTAATTATATAATGGTAGTAAATAAAACTACAGGTCATAAAATAATGTTGTAAATGACAGGGCGATTTGTTATTTACTTCAATTTTTTCCCGCTATTAAATCTCCGGAACCATCTTTTTTGACTTGTTCCACAGATGGCGACAAAAACTTGATTTTCCGATGTTCTAAGCAAAATCCACAGATAAAAAAGAAATGATAATTGCTTTCATACTTAATGCTAAATGAGTTATGTTTTCACCTTTATCTTATCACCTGTTACATAACTGTTATTGAGGTGACTATTCTCTCCGTAAATCACAATCTGACCTCTGATTATGACCTGACCTGTGACTTTTGGATAAAATTAAGATATTTTAGACAAATTGAAGGTCATTGTATGTAAACGAGGCCCCGCCTAGTAAGTTCCAAATTAATAAACTGGCAACATTCATATTTAAATTAATAAAAAACATCATTAATGTATGGATGTTGTATATTTTTTTACTATATTTTTTATTATTATTTGGCTTTAATATTTTATTATACAATTATTTTTATTTTATGCAATAAACATTTTGTCACCATAAACATTAGTTCCAAGCTATGTAAAAAGACAAACTTCCCTTAAATTAGTTCAAATAGTGCATTAATGCAGTGACTAAAACTTATATTATCAAACGAATGTAGGCTATCGGAGTACTGAATTAATGTACTTATTTGATAAATAGGTAATGATTAAATGGAAAATCCATGTATTATAATTCAAGGCGAAAGGTATTAAATAATTTATCTTCTTTTTTGCACTTTCTTTATTTTCGATTTTAATAACTCACTTACTAGTTTCTACTATTTAATATACATCACACACTACATTACATAGATCTCATACATTAACTAGTTTTTGCGCAAATTAGACGCCTAAGACCTTTTTCTAAATGTTAATATTTTATTTCATTAATAAGTCACCTTGGCAGATGTCTTTAAAAGATTTGGCACCAAATAATTCTTAAACGAAAAATTAAATAATAATATTATCGATATGCTTAAATACATTATAATCTAATGACACTAACAAGTTACTTTAGCATCTCGATTGCTGTTTTCACTTTATTAACAGTATTTTAAGACCACATAATACTATTTGTATAACTCAAAAATTATTTCTCGATCGATATTATCATTCTCTGTGTGAGATCATTATCTGTGTCATTTCATTTATATCAATAACATTACACAACATTTTATCTCCCAGCGTTTTAAATTAGTGCGAAAAATCAAGATAATTAAAATCTCTAAATGCAGTCGGGTTTATATCATTAATAATTAATTTACTGGCTTCAATCAACGAGTCTAACGCAACGAAATCTTTTTGGTAAAACTACTTTCTATTAAGCGAGTTTCTACTAGCAATAGAATAATGATATCCTATCGAATATGTAGAGACAGTCTTTTAATTGGCGGAGATATTAATATGTGTTGTTATTTTTTCAATTCTAATTATGGGTAAAACTGTATTTTGAAATGATAAATCTTGGACTTGGAACTAAAATACGAGATATCAATACGATAATAAGAAATATTAAAGTTACATACATCTAATAACACGCCCAGTGGACCAATATTGGCTTCGAAATTTTATTCGATGCACAAACATGTTTTATGTTTCCAAGAACGTCAGTACATATCGGGTGAAGGATACATTAGTATTAGTTGAAGTATAATCGCGCCCAAAATAAAAACCGCCAAATACCAACTTCGACGAAACAGATAGCGTAGCAGTTTTTTACTTTAACGTCAGAGATACCCGCCATCCTTAGTGTCCCCGTGACCACGACTGCTGCAAAGCATCCGAACGGCGGTAAAATAATTTTCAAATAAGTTACAATAATATATATCGTTTAAATAAAACACCTGAAAGGTTTAAAACACGATATATATTAGTTTAACTTATTTGAAAATTATTTTTAACTATGGCCCGAGGTTTCGGATGTTTTGCAGCAGTCGTGGTGAAGGGGACTAAACATGGAAGGTGTCACGGCTGCTGTAAAGTATCCGAAACGTCGGGCCGTAGTTAAAATAAGTTGAACTAATATATATCGCGTTTTAAACCATAAAAGTGTTTTTATTTAAATTTCCTAAATCTCTCTTTTTTTATTTCTGTATCTAATTGTACATTACGCAACTAACATTCGTATAAATTAGTTGCAGACCACGTGCACCTTATCAACGCAGCCTTGTGATCGCTTCGATACGGCTCCATAAAAAATTTCACATAAATTCGCTTTAAAATGCACAACGAACACATTACCCGCCAAGGTGACTGGCTCAAATACTTTTTATAGAATTTCTTGACATCATAAAAAATATGTGGAAAATACTAGAAATACCAGTAGAAACAGTTGTGTACATAACGACTCCATGTATTGACAAGGTCACTATTAAACTTCAATATGTTGAATTTAAATGATATTTCTCCAACTTATTTTCTATTCGTATTATTTTAATTATGTGATAGTTTAAAAGCCATTACCATACAATCTAAAATTCATCTTTTTTTTTAGAATGACGCAAAACTTTCCTATTACACAATTGATGTAGGTAGACGATTAGAATTACTAATATTATGTTAAAAAAAAAATAATCAGTGTAATAACAGTCTCTAGCAGTAAATTGGCTACCCAGTATAGGAGTAGAAGAATATGTGGACTATCTTTTAACAGATAGCAAAAGGTACGTCTGTACGGATGCAGTTACTTAGCTTATCTGTTAATGACGTCATAGTTGTCAATTGTCAAAAATATAAACAAAACAACATCTGTCTGTAGTTTACGCGAGTAGTACACATTTAAATAAAACACTTTTCCGGTTTAAAACGCGATATATTTTAGTTGAACTTATTTGGAAATTATTTTTAACTTCGGTCTTCCCGTGACCACGGCTGCTGCAAAGCATCCGAAACGTCGGGCCAAAGTTAAAAATAATTTTGAAATAAGTGTAACTAAAATATATCGCGTTTTAAACTGTTAAAGTGTTTTATTTATTACAATCTCTCACGAATTATAGGACCATTACTTGGACTGTTTAAAATTGTTAAAACTTCGTTGTAACACAATCTTGGTGAAACGTACTCATATAGGAATGACGGAAACCCTACAACGTGGCACATGTCGGGTCTTCTACCGTAGCAAGATCTCTATTAATTATGTAAAACGATTTGCTAAAGTAGCTGGGATTTTTTAAAATCCTGTTATAAAATATTATTAGCAAAACGTTATCAAACACTTGACAATGTTTATTAGGTTTTGCTCGGCTTTCGCTTTCTGATAATATTATCGTTTCATTTTTATTATGGTGCTTTGATGTCTTACTATTAAAAATATAGATATATGAATTACTGT